GGAGGGAAGCAAGCATGTTAAAGAGATTGGCAGAGCTGGCGCTGTGGCATAGCGGGTAAAGCTGCTGCCTGCAGTGCTGGCATCCCATATGGGCATGGGTTCAAGACCTGGCTGCTCCACTTTCGATCCAGCTCTCTGCTATGGCCTGGGAAAGCAGTGGAGGATGGCCCAACTCCTTGCACCTGCATGGGAGACGCAGAAGAAGCTCCTGGCTCCTGGCTTTGGATTGGGGCAGCTCCTGCAGCCATTTAGGGAGTGAACCAGTGGACGGAAGACCTTTCTCTTTCTCACTCTCTGTAACTCTGCCTTTCAAATAAATAATAAATAAATCTTTAAAAAAAAAAAGAAGGCGAGAAAGAGAGAGAGCTTGGCACCCAGTGAGATTTTTTTCCCACCTAATGGGAAGCATGGCAGCCTACACAAAGGGGGATGAATTTTCTCACCAAATGGCTTGGATGTTATTTAATGCTGCAGGCCCACGTCACCTAAACTTTATCAGATGAAGTATCAGCATTTCCCAAGTCCTATTTCTGGGCTAGCCTGGGAATTCCCTTCACGCGTCTCAGGACCTGGGGGCTCAGGCAGGGTGCTATCCAGGACACCGACCTTGTCGATGAAGGCGGCGAACTTGCTGTTGAGACACTTGATCTGCTCCTTCTCCTCGTGCTTCACGCACTGCGCGTTGGGGTCGATCTCCAGGTTGAGAGGCGTCAGGAGGCTCTCGTTGACCGACACGGTGGTGATGCAGGGGGCGCTGGGCCCGCACACGCCGCCCGAGCGGTAGCCAAAGCTGCGCCCGCAAGAGCCGGCGCGGAAGCCTCCGCCACAGAGGCTGCGGCTGCCGAAGCCCCCGCTGAGGCCGCGGTAGCAGGCGACGCCGCGGTAGGGGGCGGCGGTGATGCAGCAGCGGCCGGGCCGGGGCCCGCAGGCCGAGGCGCAGCTGAAGGCGCGGACCCCGCAGGGGGCGCCGAGGCGGGACGAGAAGAAGGACATGGCTCGGCGGCGGCGGCGTGAGCAGCGGCAAGCTGGACCCCAGACGGCCGCGCGGCGCCTTATATGGCCACCCGCGGGTCCCGGGGAGGGAGCTGGCGGCCGTGGCGTTTATGAGCTTGGAGGGCTCGGCCCTCGCGCCTCGCGGAGCCGGGAATCAAAGCGGCCCGGCCGCCGGGCAGGCTCCATAAAACGGCGTTCGCGCCTCCCTGCTGCACTTTATGGGGCCGGGAAGCGCCTGGTCAGCTCCAGCTCCGGCCGGAGCCCCGCCGCCCCTCGCAGGGCTGCTGCTGCGCACGACGGACCCCCACCTGGGGCCCAGCCCCGCTCCATCCCCGCCATGCAGGCCTTGCTCAGCCGTGCTTTCTCCACGGCCTCTGGGGTCAGTCCCAAGGTTCCTGTCGTGACGTGGGCCTCAGTTTGCTCGCATGCAAAATGGGCTAATGATAGTTACCCATAGGAGAGCGGTTGGGAGGGCATGATGAGGTAGTGGCTGGGACAGCAGGAGGACTCTGCCTGCCATTTAACAGGACGGCCGCACATGTTTATTTATTTGCTCTGTTTATCCCACTGTTATTAACTTGGGTGTCCCTTTGGATAAAAAACTTTCTCTTTTTAAAAGATTTCTTTATTTATTTGAAAGTCAGAGTTATACAGAGAGAGAGAGAGGCGGAGAGGCAGAGAGAGAGAGAGAGAGAGAGAGAGAGAGAGAGAGAGAGAGGTCTTCCATCTGCTGGTTCACTCCCCGATTGGCCGCAACAGCGGGATCTGAAGCCAGGAGCCAGGAGCTTCTTCTAGGTCTCCCACGTGGATGCAGGGGCCCAAGGACTTGGGCCACCTTCTACTGCTTTCCCAGGCCATAGCAGAGAGCTGGATCGGAAGTGGAGCAGCTGGGACTCAAACTGGCGCCCATATGGGATGCCGGCACTGCAGGTGGTGGCTTTACCCACTATGCCATAGCACTGGCCCCCATTTTCTTTTTCTGAGAACTGAGTTCCTCTCTTTTCTCTAGTGAGGGTCTCCCCTCTCTGAGGAGAGGGCTGCATGTACCCCTCCCCCTCTGCGTGGGGGAAGGGCAGGGCATTGTGTTAATGGGGAGCTGAGGGTGTGCCCGGCGTTGTGCTGGGTGTTACTGTGACCCATTTGCCTCATCAGAAAGGGGAGCTCCCAGGGTCCCCTGGCACGGGGAAGGACATCTGTGGAAAGTTCTAGCAAAGGGGTGGAGTCAGATCAGAAAACAGACTCCCCCACCCCATCCCAACCCTCCTGGACACCGGCTTCTCTTGGGGTCCTGGAGGCCAGAACCCAGACTCCCCCCGGGCTCTGGACTCTCACAGAAGCTGGCCTGCTCCAAAGGCTTCCCCTCAACTGGTGCTTGGTCATGGCCATGCGCTCTAGGCGGCCGTAAGTCGTCACAAAGGAAGTGAATGATGTGCCCAGTGAGTTATGGCAGAGCGCCGCGGAGTGTGCACTCAGCAACCAGAATTAAAGAGAAGCATGCCAGTCACCTCAGCTTCCTTTGCTTTTAAATATGAGTTATTATGCTGCACGCAGTAATTAAGTCTCGGTGCGCCAGAGTTCACTGGGGCTGCTCCGCCTTTCGGCTGCTTGACTCCTTGTTCCTGGGGGAGAGGGGTGCTCCGTGGTCCCACACTCCCATGGGCTTGCCTTCCCTTGGTTCAGACTTGGTCCGTTTTGCAGCAACTTCAGCTCAGCTTTTGGTCCATCCTCTGAGAAGATGGAGTCCCACTCTGGGGTCTTCTACTTCCACCACCCCCCTGGGGGGAGGTTTCAGCAGGGGCGCCAGCCGAGTGACAGTGAGACTGGGGCTTGGTTTCAGCGAGATGGTCGGCTGATTGGTCGGCCTGGTAGAACTGGGGGAGTCCCCCCTAGCTGTGTATCCCTCCAAGAGGAAATGGACTCACCCCCGAGCAGGGAGGGTTGGATTTGGATTTCAGGAGGTGCACGCATGGTTCTGGCTCGGATTGAGTTCTGGGTCTGGGTGAGTGGGTGGAGGGGACCTCCTGTGCTAGTCCATATCCCCGTCCCTGAGGGTCACCACTCAGCGCTTGTTCACACAGCCCAGTGTATTTTAAATCCAGGGAGATGGGAGAGCTGCAATTAAGTTGACCAGATCTTAGAGAAGTCACTTCGCTTTGCCTTTTCTCTCTGGCGTGCCAGTCTATTGGAGAAAGCGGGTTCCCTGCCCCCGCGACCGGGGTCACTGGTTCCAGAAGTCAGTTCAAGGCAGGGAGCACCCATCAGGAGCCAGGCTCAGTGTATGCAGGGAAAGACTGTGTGGCCCAGGCGGGGGCAGGCACCATGCAGGGCAACTTAACCCAGGGGGGTCCAGCTAAATGGGACAGCGAGTCTCTAGTTCTGGGAGGTTGGGGAAGGGTCCCTGGAGACGTGATGCCTTGGTTGTACCTGAAGCATGCGAGGAATTGGAAGTGCCCAGATGAGAGAGGGAGGGGGGAGGATTCAGGGAGAGCAGGAAGGCAGGGGCAAAGATGCAAAGCGAGGGAGGCGGGAGCATGGGAGACCAGTAGGGAGCTCACTTTGGCTGAGAACTAGGGACTGGCTGGGGGCAGAGGGAAGGAGGCAGGCTGAGGCCAGAGGGTGGACTTGGAGGATGGATGGGTTGGGCTTAGGATGCTTCCTGGGCTGATATTGTGGTGCAACAGGCGAAGCCACTGCTTGGGATGCCTTTATCCCATATTGGAGCACTGGTTCGAGTCCTGGCTGCTCTGCTTCCAATCCAGCTCCCTGCTAATGCGCCCAGGGGGGAAGCAGCAGAAGGTGGCCCAAGTGCTTGGGGCCCTGCCCTGCATGTGGGAGATACAAATGAAGTTCCTGGCTCCTGGCTTTGGCCGGACCCAGAACTGGCTGTTGTGGCCATTTGGGGAATGAACTAGTGGGTGGAAGATCTCTGTGTCTCTGTGTCTGTCTTGTTCTCTCTGTGTTTCTAGGCCTTTCGTATAAAATGAAAATTAAAAAAAAAAGAGAGAGAGTCTGTATATATTAATCAGTCACTCCATCTTAGGAAAAAAAGAAAAAAAAAGAAATATCTTTCCACCTTGCCCACGGACACGGTGAGGATGGAGCGAGGTGCACATGTAAAACTTTAACACAACACCTGCTGCATAGCCCAAGGCCAGTAAACTGTAGCTGCCATGATTATTGTTATTATTTTTCCCCTTGCCCGTTGCTCACCCCAGCTGCCTGCCCTAGGAGCCATCCAGAGCCCCCTGCCCCCTGGCCTGCCCTTCTAGGTCTGGGGCCCGGGGCTTCCCAAACACAGATGCTGGCTGGGGACTCCCAGACCTACCCCCTCGGTCCTGGCTCTGGTGGGCTGAGCCCAGAGCTCACTCCCACAGAGTGCCCAGAGCATGGCCCTGTGTGTGTGTGTGTGTGTGTGTGTGTGTGTGGCTGGATTGGGGGTGACACCCAGTTGCAGGCACCCAAGAAGGGTTGGAGGGGGGCAGGTGGGGCCTTTGGGATCCTCAGAGCAGATGTGGACAGAAATCCACCAGCAGCACGGGTCCTGTGACAGGAAGAGCAAGACCCTTTCCGGCCGTGTGGCTGGCTTTCCCACACCTCCCTCTGCCACGCCAGGGATGCAGCATCTGCAGGCCGTGTGAGGACTGTGCCTGGGGCACCCCTGGAGGCTCATTCCCTGGAAGCCTCACCTCCACAGCTCAGCTTGTGTTCAAAACAGAGAGACGGGCAGGTTATGAGTCCAGCTGTCAATGCCAGAGGAAGCAGCCAAGCCCAGCGTCCCTCCCCCTCCTTCCTCATCTAGCAAAGTGCAGAGCTCCAGGCCCCCAGGGGCTTCAGCAATTGGACAAACGCTGCCAGAAGCCTGGAACTGCCCGTGTAAGATTTTCCAAAGCTCCATTGCGATGATGTGGCCGCAGGAGACAGGAGAAATGACAGTGACATTCCCCAAGCCCATAAAGGTGACCAAACGGCCACTCCACAGAGCGGCCAACAACCCAGGGTGTCCGGCCTTATAAAAGGGCAGACAACGAGGGAGAGACCAAGATCCTCTGCTTCCTCCGCTTCATCTCCACCAGCCTAGAGTCGCCATGACTTGCCGATCCTCTTGTCTGAGCTCCCGCAGCGGAGCCCGCACCACCAGCTGCTGTGTGTCCGCCCAGAGGCACAGCTTTGGCCGCACCTTCAGCTGCGCCTCGGCCTGCGGGCCCCGGCCCGGCCGCTGCTGCATCACCGCCGCCCCCTACCGCGGCGTTGCCTGCTACCGCGGCCTCAGCGGGGGCTTCGGCAGCCGCAGCCTCTGTGGCGGAGGCTTCCGCGCCGGCTCTTGCGGGCGCAGCTTTGGCTACCGCTCGGGCGGCGTGTGCAGGCCCAGCGCTCCCGGAATCACCACTGTGTCCGTTAACGAGAGCCTCCTGACGCCCCTCAACCTGGAGATCGACCCCAACGCGCAGTGCGTGAAGCACGAGGAGAAGGAGCAGATCAGAGGCCTCAACAGCAAGTTCGCCGCCTTCATCGACAAGGTCGGTGTCCTGGGTCGCGCCCTGCCTCACCCCAGGTCCTGGGCTAGGTATAGAAAGCTTGCTGGCGTTTCCACGCAACCAATGCATCTGATGGAGGAGGTGCACACCTCCTCCATGGCTCAGACAGACCCAGGGAGATGGGGGATAGGACAGGGGCTACTGATCTAATAGCACTGCTTTTATATGCCTGCAGAGAGACGAGGACAAGGCTTGGAACTGCCTGTCAGATGGAGGAGGCAACATATGCATAGCAGACACACAAGAAGCAGGAGCAGTTCTGTGGGATGACCTTGCTCTCAGGGGCACTGAACACAACACACACACACACACACACACACACACTGGGGCCTGAGCAATCTCACAACAGACAGGCATGCGTCCATAGGAGCGGCAGCTAGAGACAAGGATTTGAATCCTCGTGGACATAAGAAAGGGCTCCTGCACTTGATTATGGGATGCTAGGATGAATGCTGGCATCCGGGTCACTGCAAGAGAAGGAGTGAGCGCTGGACATGGGGAAGGGAGGGGCGAGTGTGGAGGCTGGGTAGGCGGGTGGTGGAGCTTGCAGGATGGTAGGTGCATGGGGGACCCTATGGCTGTGCCTCTGGGCGGCAGGTGCGCTTCCTGGAGCAGCAGAACAAGCTGCTGGAGACCAAGCTGCAGTTCATCCAGAACCGCAAGTGTTGCAAGAGCAACCTGGAGCCGCTGTTCAGCGGCTACATCGAGACGCTGCGGCGGGAGGCCGAGCACGTGGAGGCCGACAGCGGGCGGCTGGCCTCCGAGCTCAACCGTGTGCAGGAGGCACTGGAGGGCTACAAGAAGAAGTGAGTGCCCTGTGCTTGTGTCCGCTGTGTGGGCTGTGACAGGAAGACAGAGCCAAGGAAGGGCCTTTCCCATTTCCTTCCGGACTTCTCAGGACAAGGACCGTGTTCCCCTCTGCCCTGCCTCCCCCTAAACCTCACCCAAACTTTTTCCATTTTCCATCATCGTGCGAGGTTCTGGGGACCCCAGATCGGGACACCCTCTGGCTCCATGGTTCTCACTCACTGGTTCATTTTCTGGCTTCCACTCACTTTTCTAGATCTAAGCTCAGTAAGTCATATTTTATATCAAATACTAACAAAACCAGGATCTTTAAAAACAATGTCTTCTTGGCCACCGCTGCGGCTCACTAGGCTAATCCTCCGCCTTGCGGTGCCAGCACACCGGGTTCTAGTCCCGGTTGGGGCACCAGATTCTCTCCCGGTTGCCCCTCTTCCAGGCCAGCTCTCTGCTGTAGCCAGGGAGTGCAGTGCAGGATGGCCCAAGTGCTTGGGCCCTGCACCCCATGGGAGACCAGGAGAAGCACCTGGCTCCTGCCATCGGATCAGCACGGTGGGCTGCGGCGGCCATTGGAGGGTGAACCAACGGCAAAGGAAGACCTTTCTCTCTGTCTCTCTCTCTCACTGTCCACTCTGCCTGTCAAAACAAAACAAAACAAAACAAAACAAAACAACAGTGTCTTCTCAAGTGAGAGGAGCATCCTCCTGGGGATGTGGGTGGGGGAGGGACGTGACCGGCCCAGCAGCAGTGGCTCCCCGCCCCGCCCCGTCCCATTACCAGTAAAATTGGGAATGATCTCCTTGTCCCCAATCCTTTTCCCTGCTACAGGTATGAAGAGGAGGTGGCTCTGAGGGCCACAGCGGAGAACGAGCTTGTCAGAATCAAGCAGGTGGGTGAGCCTGTGCGTGCGCCCCCAGCGGGAGACTCCGGCATTGTCTCGGGGGGGGGGCAGCCAGTTCTCCTGCCCTTGGTTAATAAGCTCCTGTGCTTCCCCACCGAGGGCATTTCCTCCCTGGCCCCGCAGTGGTTCCTCAGGGCAGGAATTCTCTGGGTCATTCTTTAGAGAGAGGTCGCAGTATGGTGGGCGAATGGCCCAAACTCCCTCACTCCATTACACTGGGGGCTTGGAGGGGAGCGTGCACTCCTGACTTCTGAATCCATGCCTACAGCTTGCAGGGCTGGGAATGGGGTTGGGGCCTTTGCTGGGTGGGCCTGGGAGTGGGGTGCTGGGGTCCCTGGGTGGGGTTCTGGGATCCCCATGTCTGCAGCAGCTCAGGACTGACATTTTTCTGCAGGGGGTCAACGGTGCCTATGCGTGCAAGGCAGACCTGGAGGCCAATGCCCACAGTCTGGTGGAGGAGATAAGTTTCTTGAGGGCCTTGTATGAGGAGGTGAGAACTGGGCATGGAGGACTTGGGTCACCTCCTCTCGTCTCTGTGCTACGCCAGTCTGTGTGCTGAGGAGATGGAATGGGTTGGTGGCCTGAAGGTTTTGGTGGCTCCGTGTGGGAGGGGGTGGGGGAGGGATGGGGACTCTGCTCTGGGTGGCTCTGGCTTGGCCGGCACAGGTGATGGGAATGGTTGTTGGCCCTGCAGGAGATCCGCGTGCTGCACGCCCACATCTCCGACACCTCGGTCGTGGTCAAGATGGACAACAGCCGGGACCTAAGCATGGACTCGATTCTGTCTGAGATCAAGGCTCAGTACGACGACATCGCCACCCGCAGCCGGGCTGAGGCCGAGTCCTGGTACCGCAGCAAGGTGAGCTGCCGGGGCACCAAGTGGGAGGGACACAGGGTGTCCCTGGAGAAGGCTGGGGTGCGGCCCCCTGAGGGTGGTGAGAACAGGCCGCCCCGTGTGGGTGCACAGGCTGAGCACTGTTCAACCCGCGCCATCCCGGTGGTGCTGACCTGAGGGCAGGGCTCGTGGGTGCTGAGCCTCAGGGGCACCTGTGCCCCTCCCCCCCCCCCCCCCGCAGTGCGAGGAGATGAAGGCCACAGTGATCCGGCACGGGGAGACCCTGCGCCGCACCAAGGAGGAGATCAACGAGCTGAACCGCATGATCCAGAGGCTGACGGCCGAGGTGGAGAACGCCAAGTGCCAGGTACGGCCAGCTGTGCCGGGGCCGGAGCGCCGGGGCCCGAGCCCTGTGGGAACCCCAGCACTCGTCCTCCAGCCCATTGGCCAGACTGGAGTCCCTGGTGGTGGTCGCTCAGGGAGACCGGGTGAGGATGGCCAGGGGCCTTGTCGGGGGGATGCTCCCGGCTGGGTGGGAGAGCCTGGAGCAGCCCAGGCCAGGGGCAGAGAGGCCCAGGGAGCAGAACCCAGCCTGTTCTCTTGCGGGTCCCCAGAACACCAAGCTGGAGGCAGCCGTGACGCAGTCTGAGCAGCAGGGTGAAGGGGCACTGAATGATGCCAGGAGCAAGCTGGCAGGGCTGGAGGCCGCCCTGCAGAAGGCCAAGCAGGACATGGCGTGCCTGCTCAAGGAGTACCAGGAGGTGATGAACTCCAAGCTGGGCCTGGACATCGAGATCGCCACCTACCGCCGCCTGCTGGAGGGCGAGGAACACAGGTGGGTCCACAGAGTAGCTGGGCGGAGTCTAATTTGCATGCACCTGCTCCAGGCTCTCTCCTCCTGCAGCCATCTTGGAATGCTCTCAGCGCCCCTCTGTGCTCCTGGGGGTGGCTCAATGAGAGTGATCTTAATTGAGGTTCAGGGGCTTCAGGTTTCTGGCATGATTTGGGTCACAGCTGGTGAACAGCTGGTAAATGACACCGGGTCTCTGGGATAGAAAACAGAACATCTGGTGGATGTTTACCCTGGCTCTTGGGAGCTGAACGGAGCTTGGGGTCAGGATAAAAAGAGGCCTTGTACTGAACGGGCAAAGAGAAAGGTGTATTTCTAGAAGGATGGGGAACTGCAGACATAGCTCCAAGTTACAGCCTTGCCCTGAACTCTTGTGGGGCAGCTGAAGGGATATGGGTTGATCCCGCAGGCTTTCCTGGGTCTAGGGGCACCTGCCCCATGTGCCCTCTGTGGACAGGTTGGAGGGGTGCTGGACCCCAGATCTTGTCTGCTTGGACGACTCCTTGGGGGGCTGGGTTCAGAGCTGGTGAGCCCGCGTTTCCGGGAGCCTTGTCGGGAGTTAACGCCCAGTGCTAACGCTGCCTTTTCTTTCCTGCACCAGGCTATGTGAAGGCGTCCGTGCTGTGAATGTCTGTGAGTTATTTGGGCCCCCAAAGAGAGGCACTGAAGTTAGACAGCAGGGAGAACTTTTTGGATGTAGGGGTGGAGAGATCCCAGGGGGCAGTGGCTCTGGTCCTTTATAGCCTCACGGTTATGGAGCAGGCTGTCCCGTGTTGAGTCACTCCTCCCTCCGCGCACACCCGTCAGCCAGTCAGTCCTATTTGCCCCGCCCCCCAGTCATGGGATGCTCTGCTTTCCTCCTTGTCCAAACACACTTGGCCATATTCTTGAGCGCTTCTGGCTCCCAGGGCGGGGGCTCTGGTGGGAGGTGGGGCTGAATGGGAGCAGCTCCCACCCCCACCTACGGTTCTGATTTATGGCTGTCTCCATGCAGGTGTGAGCAGCTCCCGGGGTGGAGCTGTGTGTGGGAGCCTCTCCACCACCCGCACCTGTGGCATCGACTCCCGTGGGATGGGTGCGGGTGGCAGCTGCTGCAAGAAGTGTTAGGGCTTGAGGCTGTCACCCTCCCGGTGCAGGCCAGGTGGCCCTTCTGTCCTGCCTGGCTACCAGCAGCCTGGGAGCGGGGCGCAGCTGCTGGTTGTCTTCCCTGCTCTGGGTCCCTGCTGTGTGGGCTGTTCCCTGGACTGAGAGCTGCTGAGAGGCGTGACAGGACACGGGGCCACCTGCCCTCATGAGGGGGACAGCCTCTCCGTGAGCATCTCCCAGGCCCCTTCCCCCTACCCCTGCTCCCCCCCCCCCCCCGCTTGGTCTCTCACAAGTCCCTTCCTTCCTGCTTTTCTTTGCTGAAAATAAAGTTGCAACCCGTCGGTGACACTCGTCAATCTTCCTGTTCCTCATTTCAGGCCTGGAGGGGATGGGTGGGGTCTCCAGGAGGACACTCAGCACAGCCATGTGGCTTTTTTTTTTAAATGTTTATTTATTTGAGAGAAGGACAGCGAGTGAGAGAAAGGTACACACACACACACACACACATACAGGAAGGGAGCTAGAGCTTCCACTCACTGGTTCACTCCCCAAATGCCCTAAGGAGTCAGGCCTAGAGTCGTAGGCAGGGGTTTCAAGCTAGGTTTCCCATGGGGCAGGAGCCCAGCTGCTGCCTCTCAGGGCTCCCATTAGCAGGAAGCTGGAGTCAGGAGCCGGAGCTGAGTAGAAAAGCCAGGCGCTCTGATACGGGCTGTGGGCATCTTAAACGTTAAGCTAAACACCTGCCCCACGACCGACTGTACTGCTTTCATTTGTGACCTCTGGGTCTGTGTGCATTGAGAGCTCACAGCTTCTGGAGCTGCACTTGCAAGTTCCTGGAACAGGTCTGGCTCCTGGCAGGCACTGAGCCGTGTTAGAGGAGCAAGCAAATTCACCTCTGAGGATTCCAGTTGCCCCCAAGGTATCTCTGTGAATGTTGCACTGTTTACAAACACTGCCTTGGGGTTGGAGCTGTGGCAGAGCGGGTAAAGCCACAGCCTGCAGTGCCAGCATCCCATATAGGCGCTGGTTTGAGTCCCGGCTGATCTACTTCCTGTCCAGCTCCCTGCTAAAGCACAAGAAAGCAGCAGAAAATGGTTCGAGTGCTTGGGCCCCTGCATCCATGTGGGAGACCCAGATGGAGTTTCTGGAGTGAGATGGTCTCTAAGATTCTGTGTATTATTAATGCCCCCCCCCATGCCCCATCAGAGAGGGTGGCAGAGCAGGGGGCTCACTCTGCAGAAGACTGGCCTCACCTTGGCTTGCTAACACCGATCTGTGTGTCTGCAGAGAAACGAAACTCAGCCCTCCTCCTGCCCGACCTCCAGGACACCCTCTGTCTCACAGGCTCATCAAGTTCACCTTTTTCCATCCTCCTCTCAAGTTCAAAGGCTCCATGCAAATCCCTGAACTTGTAAAGATTCTCCTACTGAATTACACTAACAGAGGTCCCAAGATGTTTTAATTAATTTTTAAAATATTTATTTGAAAGGCAGAGTTACTGGGAGGGCAAGACAGAGAAAGAGGTCTTCCATCCGATGGTTCACTCCCCAAATGGCCGCAATGGCCAGGGCTGGGCTGATCGGAAGCCAGGAACCAGGAGCCTCTTCTAGGTCTTCCACGTGGGTGCAGGGGCCCAAGCACTCGAACCATCTTCTGCTGCTTTCCCACGCATGTTTAGCAGGGAGCTGGATCAGAAGTGGAGCAGCAGGGACTCAGATATGGGATGCCGGCATGGTTGCAGGTGGCAGCTTAACCCACTGTGCCACAACACCAGCTCCCAGGAAAGTGCAAATTTAATACATATCCATGCTAGGAAATCAGTTCAGACTTCTTACACACAGATCCTGGGCGGTCAGCCCCCACGAGTGGAGAGGGCAGTTGTCTGCTCCTGGGTCATCCAGGGCAGGGATGAAGAGTTGGGCAGAGAGAGAGAGAGAGAGAGAGAGAGAGAGAGAAAGAGTGACAGTGAGTAAACAGGTTTTGGGTCACTTGAAGTTTTCATGCATATGCCTCACAGGATGTTGGTGGAAACAGCAGGGCATGCAATCAGCCAGTGGGAACCTGCTGTTTCCATCTCTGGTCGCTGGCTGGAGCTGGCTGGGTGTGGCGATGTACTTAACTTCTGATGTTCAGACAGCAGCTTCTGCCATGTTCTTGTCCTGCCCACAGGGGCAGTCAGCCTGAGGACAGACAGACAGAAATATTCCAACATAGAGAAAATAGTTTGGAGAAAAAAAAAACCAGAGCCCCAGGGACCTGTGGGACGATATCAAATAGTCTAGCATACACGTCAGAGGACTTCCAGAAGGAGAAGAGGGTGAGAACGAGGCAGGAAGTATTTGAAGAAATCATGTCCCATAGTTGACAAAAACCTCACCCCCAAGATCTCAGGGAACCCTATGCACGTTAAATGAAAAGCATACCATATATGGGCACACCTTACTGAAAATCTTGAGTCCCTGAGATTTAGAAAAAGCTTCAAAGAAACCAGGGATGGGAGGGGGCAGGGAAGACCATATAACACACAAGAAAACAAAGAAAGCAAGAAAAATCACCAACCCATTCCCAGAAATGATATAGATCAGGCGATAGTAAGAATTAAAAAGCAGCAACAACATCATTCAAAACAAGGGTGAAATGAAGACATTTTGGAAACACAAAAGCCATGTGGATGTGTTATCACCAGACGTGCACCATGAGGAGTTGATGATGGAGCTTCTTCAGGATGGGGGAAGTGACACTGGAGGGAGGTGACACCACCTGGATTGGGGTGGCACCCGCTGGATTGGGGTGACACCCTGGAGCCTGCAGCCCATGAACAGGTGGGAGCCCCTGGAAGTAGCAGGTCAGTGAGTAAAAATAAAGGACTATTTGTTTGGTCATTTTCTCATCAGACAATGGACTGTTGAAAGCAAAAGGAGTGACATCTTGAACAAGGGCTGTAGGAGTCGAAGAGCTGGCTGCGGCTACACAAATGAGCTGGCGGTGGGCAAATGAGCCGCACTGGTGTGCAGTGTGAAATGTCGGCTATGAAGGGGCAGGAGGACAACAGCAGCTCTAGACTGATCGAGTAAGGGTGGGGTGGATATGGTCAGGTCCAGAGACAGCGCTGAAAGCAAAACAAAATGATATTGCGACAGTCAATAGATTAAATAAAGATAAAAATTAAAAAATAGTTTAATTAACCCAAAAGAAGACAGGAAAGGAACAACAGAAAAGAATAAAGGATCTCCAACAGGACCAGATGGGACAAATAGAGACAGAGAGCCAGAGGACTGACTTAAACCCAGTCCTATACAGGACTTCCTATACGGCAAGGCCCACCCATTTATGAACAGGTCAAAGGATAAACAAAGCAAGGCACAGGCATATGATGGATATCACTCAGCAGGACAAAAGATGGAACTCCAACCCATGAACTGACACAGGTCAGTCTCAGAAAGACTATGCAATGCGGAAGGAGTCAGACAAGAAAGATGAACTGTGCTTTTCTTCATAAGTAGCAATACTAGGGGCTGGTGTGGTGCAGGAGGACACAGCCACCTGTGATGCCACATCCCCTATGAACATTGGTTCGAGTCCTGGCTGTTCCACTTCAAATCCAGATCCCTGCTAATTCAAGTCCTTGGACCCCTGCACCCATGTGGGAGACCTGGGTGGAGTTTCAGGGTGAACCCATGGGTTGAACATTTCTTTCTCTCTTCCTATCCCTCTTTCTCTGTAACTCTGCCTTTCAAATAAATTAAACAGTAAAAAACAATTAGCAATGCTAATCTACAGTTATCGCTCCCCGTCTTTGTGGAGGAACGACACAGGACCCTGCGCTGTTCTTTTGTCTGCTCGGCCCTCCCCGGGTTTGCTGCTGGTTCTTCCCAGGTTGGCTGCCGTCCCTTCCACCTCCGTGGAAGGGCGGTTCCCCCTAGCCACTTTCCCCACTTCCGTGGGGGAGCAGCACACCAACGGCCGGCTCTCTCGGGGGCTGCACAGGTGTTCCTCAGGTGTTCCCCTTAGATGTTCCTGGTGCATGTTGTCTCTCTCCTCCTTTATAGTCCTCTTCCACCAATCCCAACTCTGCTACCCACACGCCGAGTACACTGCTCGCCTCCAATCAGGAGCAGGTGCTACAGTTTATTGGTTGAACTGGAGGCAGCTGTGTAGAAGCTGTTTCCCTTCTCAGCGCCATATTGTGGGAAAGCAGATGCATAGAATAAGTCTTAATTCCAGTAACTTAGTCTAGTCCGAGTTGCTCCCCACAACAGTGATGGAAGTTAGACCAATGGTTGCCTGGGTAGTAGCAGGGAAATTGATGACAATGGGACATGAAGGAACGTTCTGAGATGATGGATATGGCCAACATCTTTTCTCAGTGGTTGTTCAAATGGCGTGTACATCAAGCCCCAGGTGTTGAACTGTACTCCTAGCACGTATGCATTTTATTGAAAGGAAATTACAACTAAATAACTCAATAAAACAGTGATTAAAGTCTTAAGATACTTAGAAATAAAGCCAACAAGTAAGTGAAAAACCTATATTTAGAAAAATGTTAACATTATATAGCCAATGAATGATAATACAGAAGATCTAGCCGAGTGAGGTGATATACTATGTTCATAGATAGGGAGCTTTGTCATCATGAAGGGATCAGTTATCCTGAAGCTGGTCCTCAGAGTTGATTCAACTAGAGTAAAATTATAAAGATTGATGAGCATTGTGCTGAGTTGGTTCTAACATTCATGGGGAGGAATGAAAGTCGGGAATAGCCAAGGCACTGATGAGGAAGTATGAGTGGGTGCTCTCCTGTTCAGATGCTACAATCATTATAAAGTTATAATAAGTAAGACAGTGCAGCATTCACACAATAGATAAATTGATCAATGGACCAAAGCAGATAGCCCCTAAATTATATTCATATTTATAGCATAGCTTTGATATTACACCTGTCCCATGTGAGTACAAGAGAGGCTGATGGCAGATCAGAGGGAAAAGAAGGACCAGACATTGGTTTTCCTTATGGAAAAAAAATGCCACTGGAGCCCTGCCTTCCATTATCTACAAAATCGACTCCAAGCAAACTAAGATAGAAAATGTCAAAGGAAAACTTTGAAATCTTCGGAAGGAAAAATTGGAGCGTATCTTTCTGACTTTGGTTAGGGAATGACTAAAACAGCAGAGAAAATGTTTAGCATAAATTTAGGGAGATCTTGCTCAAAATAAGCTACACATAAAATGGAAAGACAGGGGCTGGCACTGTGGCATAGCATCCCATATTGGTGCCAGTTCGAGTTCTGGCTGCTCCACTTCTGATCCAGCTCTCTGTTATGGCCTGGGAAAGCAGTAGAAGATGGCCCAAGTCCTTGAGCCCCTGCACCCGTGTGGGAGACCCGGAAGAAGCTCCTGGCTCCTGGCTTCAGATCAGCGCAGCTCCAGCCATAGCAGCCAATTGGGGAGTGAACCAGTGAATGGAAGACCTATCTCTTTCTCTTTCTGCTTCTCCTCTCTTTTGTAACTCTGACTTCCAAATAAATAAATAAATAAATCTTTAAAAGAAAAATGGAAAGACAAGCCGTGAACTTGCAGATGATATCTGTGGTACAGATAGGTGACAAAGCAGTAATATCCCAAATATAAAGAACTCTTATAACTGCTAGGTGAACTTATAACTTGTAGTTGAACCTAACACCTAATGGGAAAAAATTGGCAAAAGAGAAAGAAATACATTTGAAAAAATATTTAAAAATTAGATTTATTTATTCATTTGAAAGGCAGAGTCATATACATATATACATACATACAGAGACACACACAGAGGGAGAGAGAAATCTTCCATCTACTGGTTCACTCTGAAATGCTCATAAGGGCCAGAGCTGAAGCCAGGAGCCAAGTACTCCATCTGGGTCTCCAACATGAGAGACAGGGGCCCAAGCATTTGGACCACCTTCCCCTGTCTTCCAAGGTGCATTAGCAGAGAGCTGGATTGGAAGCAGAGCAGCTGGGACTTGAATAGGTAGCTCCAACATGGGATGCTGGCATTGCACGTGGTGGCTTAACCTGCTATACCACAGCACTGGCCCATTTCTGCAAAAACTTTATTTATTTAAAAGATAGAGCAAGCAAGAGAGAGAGAGAGAGAAAGAGAGAGAGAGTGTGTTTTTCATCTGATGGTTCACTCCCCAGATGGCCACAATAGCCAGAGCTGGGCCAATCTGAAGCCAGGAGCCAGGAGCTTCTTCCAGGTTACCCACATGGGCACAGGGGCCCACGTATTTGGGCCATCTTCTACTACTTTCCCAGGCCATAGCAGAGGGCTGGATTGGAAGTGGAGCAACCTGGACTCGAACCAGTGCCCATATGGGATGCTGGCACTGCAGGCGGTGGCTTTCCCTGCTATGCCACAGCACCTGCCCCTGAGTTGTAATTTAAAGGAAAGGCTGCCGCCAGAACCCTGAGGAACTTCCCGCAGAAGTACACGAGCAGCTTGGGCCTAGCTGTTCATAGCAGCACTGCTCGTTGCAGGAAAACCCACAACAATTACAGGTTCACAGCCTGGAATACCAGGCATCCTAGAAGCAGAGCGCAGATGGAGAAAAGCGAGTCATGCAAACATGCGGGCCATGCAGTTCTGTTGACATAAACCTTGCAGGTGGGCAAAATTGAACAAGAGCTTAGGGCTGTACAATGCGATACATCCAAAAGAAAGATTGGGTGATCATTAGCATAAAACTCTAGGACGGTGGCTCCCCAGAGGATGGGACAGGGTCAGGATAGAGGCACTGGGATTGGAGAAGGTCCTGGGGAGGGGGTGGGGTGGGGTTTGGAGGCAGTGGTGGGCACACAGGGGTTTCTGATTGCTGCTGCTTCCATCATGAACTGCACGTGATAATACCCTTTTCATGTGCATGAAAAATGTAACACAAAAGCAGCATGTGGGGCTCCCTAGCCCCCAGCTCACTCCTTCAGAAGGGGGTCATTGTCCCACTGCCCACCCCATAAGCCTAACCCCCTTAGTGCCACACATCCCCCCCACCCCGGCCCCCAGTGCTTTTTCCTTCCTCTACTTTCCTTCAACACCCAGTCCAGCCCCATTGGGGGCTTCCTTTCCCATCTGGGCTCCCTGAGGCCTCTGGTGAGAACTCTGTGACTGTAAGAATATGACCTCATAAAGCCCCCCGGAGAGAGGCCGGCATTCCAGGAGCACCGGGCGTGGAGCTGGGCTTGTAGGAGGCGCCAGCTGCTTTCACCATGGTGAGGCTTAGCCGTGGGGCTCACTGGTCACACGGGGTCAGGGGGGATTGGATTTTGCTCCGATCTGCTGGAGCCAGTGAGACACAAGTTTGCCTGCTGTGTCCATGGCCTGTGGCATGAGAGCAGGGAGGGGCGTGCAAGGGGAAGCAGCTGGGTGTGCCCACCACTCGCTGCTACCCTGCCAGCACCAGGCTGCTGTGAACAGTTCCCACCATCTGGGCCAAGGGCCCTCAGGCTGTAGAGCAAAGAGCATGGGCTTAAAACATTGCCATCCGGCTGGCTCAGCAGCCAGGGCACGCCCCCTGGGTCCCTACGTTCTTGCCTGTGTGTGCAAGAGGTAAGGAGCGGAGGCTAGCTCAAGGGGCCGCCACGGGCATCAAGCCCCTTCCCAGCGGGTGGCAGGAAAGGCTTGGGAAGAGCCCCAGTCGCTGTGCATATGTGACTGTCCGCACGCAAGGGGCTGGAAGGGAAGAGTCCCACCGATTTCATCCCTTGGAGACAGCCCCTCCCACCATGGCCTTGGAAGTGGGCGAGAAGCTGGAACCAGGATGCCTGGCACTGGCAGCTGCTGCTTCTTTTTAAAGATGTATTTATTTATTTGAAAGGGAGAGTTACAGAGAGGCAGAGGGAGAGGCAGAGAGAGAGAGAGAGAGAGAGAAAGAGAGAGAGAGAGAGAGAGAGAGAGAGAGAGAGAAAGTCTCCATCCATTGGTTCATTCCCCAAATGGCTACAACAGCCAGAACTGGGCTGATTCAAAGCCAAGAGCCAGGAGCTTTTTCTGGGTCTCCCACGCAGGTGCAGGGGCCCAAGGACTTGGGCCATCTTCCACTACTTTCCAGGTGCATTAGCAGAGAGCTGGATTGGAAGTGGAGCAGCCGGGACTTGGGACTTGAACCGGCACCCATATGGGATGCTGGCACTGCAGGCGGCGGCTTCACCCGCTCTGCCACAGTGCTGGCCCCAGCACTGGCTTCTGTTTCATGGCATTGACTGAGTTAAGGAGGCCTAGATGTTTAGTTTCTTTAAAACTGAGAATTAGCAGTGAATTTTATTAAATGATTTTCACATGAGTTTTGATGGTCCTATAAGGTAAATTAGAATAATTTATTTGCTCAAGTTTAACTCCCAACCTGTTTTGGGATAAGCCCTGCATGATATCTGTCTAAAAGCTTACCTCAAAAGACGCTCACCTCCCTCATCTCCCATTGCGCCTGGGTGCAGGCGACACTGGGCACCTCCAGGCCCCGTGTGCCAGCTGAGTACATAGTACTTCCCCAGCAAACCTTGGGGTAGGGCTGGAGAACACCTAGCCCTTGAAATCACTTGGTCTGGCCCTGCTAAGCAACTGGAAGTGCAAAACCTCTACAGCAGGCTAACTTTGACGTGGACCATTTTATAGGTGTGCCAATGACATTATAAATGTCCAAATGGCCCTTGGCAGGACGAAGGGTCCCCAGCCCTGCCTCGGAGACCGTGAAGTTTATCAGCCCCATTTCAGGGCTGGGGCAGCAGGGGGCTGTGACACAGCTGGTGGCTGGACTGCATAGGGGGGGCCGGGTCACAGGTGCTGTTGTCTTCACTATCCGATCCCCCAAACCCCACTCTGTCCTGCTGCCTCCACCCCACAGTGTGAAGAGGTACAGGCGACCACCCAGAAGCACAGGAAGAGCCCGAGGTACAGCAAGGAGGAGCTGGACAGGCTCAACCAGGCCACCCAGCGGATGGCTGTGGAGATGGACAGCTCCAGGGGTCAGGTGAGGCATGGGGCGTGGGGGCGGCGATGGTGGGAGGAGACGTCTTAGTCTACTTTGTGTCACTACAACAGCATAGTTGCCACTGGGTAATGTAGAAAGGCTTCTTTAGCTCACATATGGGCCCCAGCTGTCAGTCCTGGGGCGAAGGCCGTGCCTAAGATGGCAGGTTAGCAGAAAGGGGAACAGGTGCATGCAGAAGGCACCACACACGGGACGGTCACAAGCACCTGCTCTCGTGAGAACCAACCTGGGCCTGTCTGGGGCAGGGGAGGGCTTTATACCCTTCTCCTAAAGAACCACCTGCTGGTGTTGTGGCACTGGGGAACTTTCCTGGCGGAGTGGGGGGCAGGGCAGCCCACAGCAGGGGTAGCCTCCGTCTCTGTGGAAGCGCTGGGTGGACTTTGTGGACGTCTGAGCAGGCAGGGCTGTGTCCGCACAGGTGTGCCAGGCCCGGCCTCACCTGGAACTCCAGGTGGGTAAGTAGTCAGCATAGAGGTAGATAGGGCTGGATATATACACCTGTTTGTATCCAGTGATAACACACGTGTGTATGTATGTTATTTATTAACATTGGTGAGAGTTCCATCTAAAACTCAGTTTCTGGAATTTTCTTCAGGAAAAAAAAGGGTGAAGGTTTGGCAAAGTTAAATTGTGATTCCCTCACGATCATATGAGGCTGGAAGAGAGAGGCCTCTATCCTCTCCACATGGGGGCGTTTGCTTCCTGGGGTGCCGCAGTCCCCACCACTCCCAACTGCATCCTTTGTCAACCAGGCAAGAGGTTTCCTGGGCTGTTTATCACCACCCCAACTGTTTTCCCAGAAGAGAAATGGTGCCTGCCGCACCTTGGTCTCTGAGGCAGAGGATTGAAAGGCTGGAAACATGAAGAGTTCCTGCTGATTTCAGGAGATGGGGAGAGAGAGCGTTTTTCTCTGTATAAATTGGACACCTGTGATGGGTTGAACCTTTGGCCTTGATCTTGACCTTGCTGTTTCTGGCCAGCCCGGCCCCTTCAGGCATTTGCATCTATGGCTCAAGCTTAGAAAGACGAGGTTCCCCCAGGGCTGCCTTCCTTTTCCCATTCTCTCTCTCTCTCTCTCTCTCTCTCTCTCTCTCTCTCTCTCTCTCCCCCCTCTCCCCCCCACTCCTATCTCCCTGCCCAGCAGCCTTCTCTGTGCAGTGCCCATGGCTCATCTGCCACTTCTTACAGCAGTGTCACCAGACTAGAGGCTAAAGGCTCTCTCTCAGCCATCCCTGTTGGCTGGCCCCAAACCTCCACCTTGCACCTTGAGAGCAGACAGGTGGGTGGGTTGTTTGCATACGCTGCTACAGACCCATTCACAAGTTTTGCAACAGGCATGCTCCCTCCTTACCACCACGGGCAGGTCCCCATGCCCTCCCTGGTCCTCCAGCCCCTGAGAGAGATCTGGACCCTTGAAGGGGAAGGAGAAGGAGACATGGATGTCTTTCTGTCTCTGGTCTTCCCTTCACTGCCAGCCCTGCAAAGGAGGGCAAGCCGAGGACCAGCCGGCTCTGCGGGAGGACGGTGCCAAGGGCAAGCTGGCCTGGCTGGAGGCCACCCTGCAGCGAGCCAAGCAGGACATGGTGCAGCAGCTGCGCGAATACCAGGAGCTCATGATTGTCAAGTTGGGTCTGGACTTCGAGATCGCTACCTACCGGCGGCTGCTGGAGGGCGAGGAGAGCCGGTGAGGGGTGGAGAAGCACTTCCGGGGTGGCCACAGGTGAGGGAGGAGTCGGGGGCTGCAAGGTGACCCCCATCCTCATCAGCCTCGAGGGAGGTGGGGAGAGGCGACCTGGGTGCCCAGCGGTCTGTCTTCCCGGAGCTGAGTCTTCCTCCCACCGCCTTACAAAAGGAATGAACCGGAAGTCCTGGCTGAATACCCGCCACGTGGCAGGTGGTTCTCCTGGAGGTTCACTCAGCTGCTTCCTTCCTCTCCCCGCAGGCGTGGTCTGAGATTTGGGGCGCGGAGCATCGGTGAGTAAATAAAAGGCACAGCTTGGGTGCGTGGGGGTCCGGCCTGCCCTTACCGCCACACCCCTGCCTGCTGAGCGTGCTCTGCAGAAGGGAGACCGGGGTGTTTCGGGCCGTGTGTCTGTGACTCCGTGCATCAGTCTTGTTGGGGCTGTCTCTTCTCTTTGGGGTGGTGGTGATGCTGTGTTGGCGCGAGGTCTGTTGCTTTGGGGGCATTGCACATCTATCTCACGGTGGAGAGGAGGGTCTGTGTAGGAGCAGACTGTGTGTCCTCCCTTGGGGCAGGCAGTGGGGGCACGGCAAGGCTTCCTCATTCCCACGCTGCTGTCTGCTCAGCCCCGAGCAGCGCTTCGGCCCCAGAGCCTGGCTCAACCGCGGGCCCTGCCCACCCGCTCCCGGCCACGGAGACGAGCGCCCCTGGCGGCGGCTGCGCGCTCTGCGGCTCCGCGGGCTGTGCCGGACACTAGAGCTGCGACAGCCCCCCTGGATGTTGAAGTCTCCAGCAACTCCGGAGACCAGGAACTCCGGGTTCTACCCTGAAGACTCTGCCCTGCCACCCATCACAGAGCTGACCCGCCCCCTCTCTCTGTTGCCCTCTCCCCGCCAGCACGGAGAATCAGATCTTGGAGCATAGCATAGCTTGCAGAGTCGTGACAGATCTGTTCCCTTGTGCAGAGATACCCAGGTGCTGCTGCTGTCGGGTGGGCGTGGCCTGTGGCTTACCTGGGCCCAGCACCCGGCTCCTCTGAACTGACTCCTCCCCCCTTTTCCCAAGGATTCCTCCTTTGCAATAAAAAGTGGTGCAGGGGACTGAGCTGGCTGGCTGTTTGAACCCAGGTTTCCCAGGGCAAACATAGGACTGGCCAGATTGGAGGGAGGGAAGCAAAAGTGAGGAAGGTGGGGGACAATACTAGGAATCAACCCTGCCCTGGTGGTATTCTGGCCCAGAGGACCTAAGTTTATGGAGATTTTATATTACAGAACAAGGATGTTGGGGGCGGAGCTTAAGGGCCCAGGGGATAGTGAGGGACTGGGCTTATTCATGCCGGGCGTTCCAGCCTGGGGTCTGTGGACAGCTGTTCTGGGCAGAGGAGAGTCTGAGAACTGCATTCATTTAGCCATCCACCCACTCTACAAATACACTTATCCAATGGCCTCCTAGGGTCCTGCTCAGAGACTGGCTCCTGGGACCTGAGGGCCCCCAAGGGCTCTACGCCCGTCTGGCTCTCTGGTGGGGAACTCCTAGCAGAGGGTGCAGGCCATAGCAAACAGACCTGACAGAGAAGAGAGAGGGACGGGAGCCAGGGCTGTTGTCTTGCTGGGTACTTGCAGAAGGGGGCTGGCCCAGGCCCGGGTTCTGGGTTTACAGCATGTGCTGGGGGTGGGCAGGTGTATTAGGTAGCTTTTCACCATCTCAGCAAATCCCCCGAGATGAGCTATTTGTAAAGGAAAGAGGCTGATTTTGGCTCCCGGTTCTGGAGGTTCTCAGTCCAAGATCGGGCAGCTACACTGATGTGGCCCCAGCAATGGTGTTCTTCCGGATGGAGTCCGAGTTGGCACAGAGCGTCAGGTATTGGTTGGGGAGCATGGGAGTCTATGGCATAGGGATCCAGCCATGGGGGCTCCGCCCCAACAACCGCATTCAATCCAGGGACCTCCTAAGGCCCAGCACCAGACGGCACAGGTGCATTTGTTAGGCAGGAAGTTAGATATTAGCCTTTGTGTGTGTGTGTGAGACAGGCCTAGAGACCAGCACCCACAGCGGAAGCCCCAGAAGCCCAGCATCTTGTACTTCACAGTCCTGCCCAGACCCTGGAAACCTCCCAGGTGGTCCCAGCCCTTACCCCAAGGCAAACTCCCAGGAGAATTCTCTCTCCTCAGGACCAAAAGGTTTACCTGACCTGATAACACGGGGCAATAAAACCTTCGCAGATGCCCTAATGGAAGCCCCCTACCCTGCCCAGGCACCAGCAAACCTGGGGAGGAATTTGCAAATTTTCATACAACAAACCCTTCTGCCAGGGCTCCCCATCCTTTGTCCCGGAGGAGAGGGGGAGGTGGGTAAACAGACTCCCTTAAAAACCTAGGGAGTCCAAACGGACTGTGCACTCAGCCCTCTGCCTCTCTGCTGAGCCACCTGCCTGGCCTGCCCAGGTGTATTCTCTCCATTCAACCATGTGACCTCGCTCTCCCCCTGAGCGCTCTTTGTCTGTCCCCTCCGTTCTGACGGATGTCCTGTCCCCAATAAAGCCTTATCACTCCACTCTGCCTCACACATGAACCCCACGGCTTCCACGGCCTTTTCTCCAGTGACACATTCAACTGCTGCCCTCTCAGTGACAGTGATGTCACACATGGGGGACGAAACCTTTCACACCCAGTCCTCTGAGGGACATTCAACATGCAGGTGACATCCGAGCCGGCGTAGCAGCAGGACAACAATGCTGGTGGGGAGCACGGGCTTTGGAACCAGACACAGGTGCCGGCCCTGCCTCCATTGCCAAATCTACGTTGTGGTTTGGTCTGAGTTTTCACAAGGCACCCGGAGTTTAGGGGGGCAGAGCGTGGACCAGTTTTGGGGTGTGGGGTGGCCCCAGAAAGGCTCTTTCCTGGCCACGCAGTGTGGAGTGAGCGCAAATTCTTTTCTATTGCACAAAGGATGACATCATCAATGCATCTTGAGAACAATTGTTCCTGCTTTTTATGTCCCTGGGTGGGGTACGGTGTGTGTCATTGGCCAGAGGCTCTGTCTTTACCTTTTAAGGTATTCTAGTGCCGGAGTGTCTACTCTGCTTTCCTGCTTCCCCGGCTTGGAGAACAGGTCTCCCCAAGGCCCCGTAAACAGAACGGTCTCATGCCAGAGGAATGGAACCGAAACTTGGCTGGCAGGCGGCCACTCACCTGAGGGACAGGATCAACCCTGCCCTTCACCCACCGTGTAAATAGCCTCGCCAACACTCCCAGGGCCAAACAGTTGCTTGCTGCCTGCCAGCTGGAAGCAGACCCGCTCAGCCAGATTCTGCAGCCCCGTGTGCCCTGCGTTTTGCTGGGTGTTAATGAAGTACTGGGATTGTTCAAGGCCATGGTCTCCCAGCTCCCCTCCCCTCCCCCGTGGAGGGACCTCTGCAGGACGCGTGGGCAGGGGTGATCTCCCAGGCCTTGTGGGCAAGCAGTTAGGGTGTTCATTCTGTACCCTGGAGCACGTGGCAGGTTGCATATGCTTTCCTTTTACAACTCCCTGACCCTCCCCCCCCCCCCCAAGTCTGGACTTGCCTGCTGCCAGCTCAGGAGACCTGAAGGGCGTTAGGGTCAGGCTCCAAGCGTCTTTCCTGGGGCCAGGGCCACGTGCGTCAGTAGCAATGTTTGTGATCTGGGGTTGGGCTCTTGAAAAGCTCCCAGGACCACGGGCCATTCCAGCCTGGGGTGGGAGAGCGCCCCCTGGCGTTTATCTGTGCACAGTCACTCGCCGGCTGTGTGTGGTGGGGTGACTTCCGAACTCGGTGCACCAAGCCTGCCCCTGCCGTCCCTGCCTTGGCTGTGCCTCTGGCTCTGTTGGCAGTGGCTGTCTCCCCCAATTGAATCAAGTGGGACTCCCGACAGTCCTGGTTTCTGGGACGTGCTGAGCCCTCTCTCCCCACTGTTAGACGCTGCAGCCAAGCTGACTATGGATCTCAAGCACGCCAGCTTGCGGTAAGAAGGAAGGGTCTCCAGCCGGTTCCCAATCTCGCCCTGACCTTGGCCAAATCCTCACTGATTTCTGGGCCTCCATGCTGCCCTGCTCCGGATTTGAAGGGTGAAGATTTATCTCTTTCTTGCCTTTTATTTCCCTCCCCTTTTTGAATCTCTGAGCCAAAATTCACCTGCAAAGTAGAATAGGATCCACCGTAGGGTTGTTTGAGAATGAAAAGAGGCTTAAATGCAGCAAGAGTTTTATCGGTGCAGCAAACATTTCTCATACTGGAGTTCTTTGCAGGGGGTCTGAGCCGCTTTGCAGAAGTTGCTACAAAGTCCAAGTCCCTGGGACCTCCCTGGGTCCCAGCTGGAGCCACAGGGCCAGTAGGGCAGGAGGACAGGGGGGCTAAACCCAAGAGGGTGCCTCCCCTGTCGGACACCCAGGGCCACCTGTCCATCACTAACCCCGCCTGAGCCGTATTCTCCATCTGTGACCCCTGCCTCACCAGCACATAGAGGTACCCATGGACCCACACATCCTCCCCTCTGCAACACACAATTCACATGCATAGTCATGCCTACAGGGAAGAAATGCGTGTGCACACACACATGGATGATACCTGGCTGTGTGCATGTATCTGGAAGCAATGATACTGCTCCAATCACAGCCGCCCGTGGATATCAAGTGACAGAATGAGTTGAGGCCAGTGGGTGTTGGTGCTGAGAGTTGAGCTGCCACTTGGGGCACCAGCATCCCAGTTCAAGCCCCAGCTGCTCTGCTTCTTCCTATCTGGTTCCCTGCTGATGCAACTGGGGAGCAGTGGATGATGACCCCAGGGCTTAGGGAACTGCCACCTGTGTGAGAGACCTGGATGGAGTTCCTGGCTCCTGGCTTCAGCCTGGTGTATCCATGGCTGTTAGAGTTATTTGGGGAGTGAACCAGCAGATGGAAGACATACCTCTCTCTCTCTCTCTCTCTTTCAGATAATTAAACTTTTAAAAAGCATCAGTAGACAGCACACAGCACAGTTGCATGCAACTTGGGTACCTGATTTCTCTGTAGCCCCTAATCCTAATTTTCTTTCCTTTTTTTTTTTAGGATTTATTTATTTATTTGAAAGTCAGAGTTACAGAGAGGCAGATGAGAGAGAGAGAGAGAGAGAGAGAGAGAGAGAGAGAGAGAGAGAGGTCTTCCATCTGCTGGTTCACTCCCCAAATGACTGCAATGGCTGAAGTTGGGCCGATCCAAAGCCAGGAGCCAGGAGCTTCTTCCAGGTCTCCCACGAAGGTGCAGGGGTCCAAGTGCCTGGTCCATCTTCTACTGCTTTCCTAGGTGTATTAGCAGAGAGCTAGATCAGAAGTGGAGCAGCTGGGACTCAAGCTGGCATGCATATGGGGTGCAGGCACTGCAGGTGGCGGCTTTACCCACTACGCCACAGCACTGGCCCCCCTAATTTTATTTCTTTCATGAATACACCCAGGCCCAGAGCTGGGAGGTGACTCGCTTGAGGCCACACAGAGAGATGTTCCATGTTCCTCATATCAGATTCCTGACTGTCCTGCCCTGACCCTCTGCATGGACCTGTGCAGGCATGGGGGCTGGGGGAGGGGGAGAAGAGCAGGGTCAGAGTTCAGAGTTCAAGGGGAAGGTGAGAGGGTGAGACCGCAGCTCCCTGATGAGATCGGGGGTAGGAAGGAGGGGCCACGGCCGGGAGGAGAGTTCCGGCAGGGGTCGAGGTCACTGCCCTGGGCAGTGAGAGATGGGTGGAGCTGGGACCTGATCCTGACACTGGGCCTTTGACAGGGCCTGCTCTGAGCTGCGTGGTGTCACAGCGCAAGGGCTGGCGAGGACGACTGCGCATTGTGGAACTTTCCGGGGCTCCGTCCTGCTCAGAATTCCATCTGTCAGGGAGACCTTGGTTTGATCCTACCCCTTATAAGAGCCATGTCCGAGCTCTCCATGTTCTGAATGATTTCTGGTGCCCTGATGGGTGGGAGTGGGCCCCTCCGTGTCTGCTACATATTCTGGTCCTGGGACTTGGAAGGTTAAAGAATGCCAGTGTGTGTCAGGGACCTAACTTAGCCCAAGGTGCAGGTGCTCTGCCCCCGACTCCGGCCAGACCCTCATCAGAGTCAGC